CGCAACTCTTGCTCTCTTGTTTTATCACCGTCAGGTCGCTGTAAATGAGAGGATTGCCCAATTTTTTCCACTTCTGCTTTCAAGATTTCAGATTGCCTCTAAACCTTCGGGACAGACGAATCAATGCACACGAAAATGAAGTTCGCTGATCTCAGAAATTGAAAAAATTCTAATTAGCGAAACAATCCTAATGCAGTTGTTGCAAGTTTATCATTTTCTGCATGTTATCTCGAAAGATGAAGAGCTCGTTGAAGACAAGAGTAAATTCATCAAGCTACATACCACACCATATTGAGGAGGCACACTAAGAGTTACATCGAGCATGCCCATACTTTCTTGGTACATCGGCAGACGATCGATATCGACCGCATACGATTCGCGGATTCGAATTCCAATTTGTGCCTCTTCCAGCACTACGTAAACTTCCGGCTGACCACGCTCCACATTGTTCACATAAACCAAAACACCTACAAAAGATACCATCCGAACTGTTTCTCTGAATTCACGTGAACTTCCATTTTTATATTGAATGATAGAAAAATGTTTGTACATTTCTCCGATTTCCCTAATTCACTCAACTTCAATTAATGCAACAAAAAAAGAAACCTCTGAATCGCTGTAATCGCATTGTATCGAAATATCGAAGAATATTTCCAACGATAACACTCGTTCTGTAACGAAAACGCCTTGTATCTTTTCTGGCCAGTACATGCACACGATCTGTACCGGTCGCTTCAACCACAACACCGGTTATTACGGTGGCATTTGTCGGCTGTACCAAATCTGCCTGGCTTATATATCGACCCAATAAACCTTTAAGATATCTTATAAACAAATCGAAGGGAACCAAACGAACATGTTGCTATTTTATGATGAACGCTGATATCATCTGTATGAAAGCGAATATTCATCTGTTCGTTTGTCAACTAAAATCATACTTATAGGCAGATCTTAACGAATCAAGAGTGATTATAGCAGCACATAAGATTTGCTTGCCGAATACTCGTTGTACCGTATGAATCGCCATTTATGGTGAACTCAACAACAGTTCATAACACCGGTCAAGCCAACTACTATCTGACATCCTGATCTTTTATCGCGTTGGTTGATGAATAAGAACTTAGGACACAATGGAAAACAGCTGGTTGATGGGTTGAACAAGGCGAGTAATCCAGAAATCGCAATCAACATACTGAAATCGACTTTTCTATTCGGATATCTTTCGAGTCGGACTTGAATACGAACTTCAGGGTTCATTATCGTCTTGGGTATATGAAGAAGCGTATAAACACCAGGTTCATCGAACACAAACTTATCGTTGTCAATCGTATTGAACGTTCCTGCTCCGAATGCCTCTCCTGAATGTTTTATCGCATATATTCAAGTTCAATTTTCTCGGTAATTATTGGCTTGCTTCTTGTGATTGAATCATATTTTACGGTGACATGACAGCATGATAAAACAAACCGACGGCAGGTGGTTGATACTGCTGGCATCCACTGCTTGGTCTACGCCAATAGAACAATTGACAGCGGAACTTAGCGAATTTGCAACATAAGAAATACGGCATGTAGTCATGATGAAAAGTGGATAGACCAGGAACCTGCAATGAGTTCTCTCTTTGGATGAATGTGATAAGAAGAAGCGTAAACAGTTCATCGAATGCAAACTTGATATCATGTGTACAGAAATTGCAAGCCCATTTCTCAATTTCATTTCGCATGAATAATTCAGAAGTATTCTCAAATGATTTGCTGACGAATGTTTCAGAATGAACGCATACCTCAAATTGGCCCATATATGGATGAGTACCAAATTCATATGCACGTAGCGGATATCCTGGATTATAAGGCGTCTCATCGATTATTTTAACGACGGGTTGATAAGTGGTTTGCATGAGTTTTCCCTCTTCATCGTAACAGCACACCTGACCATAATGAGTGGGGAATCGTCTGCAATTAATCCGAGTCAATCAAAGAAGACCACGGCTGTTGGCGAGATTTTCAAGTGTAAAACCATACAAGGCGAATTCTAGGGAACCGTGCAAATGGAATTCTCAGCAAACGGAGAAACGATCAAATGTGAGCATTGTTTTTAAGAAGCACATCAAGAAATGAGACTATTTACGCTGTATATTCCATGCCATGCTTTGCTCCATCACCCGCATATGAGCCATAGATATTTTGTGCTGACATATAGCAGTTTTTCGCACCAATCGTTGTTGTGCACATAATATCACGGAAGACCTGAATACGAATCAAGTTTCAGATAGAAATTCTTACGTAGGACCGCAGATATTCTTCAGCCTCTATGTTACACGTGAAATCCAAACGGAAATTTTTCTCTTGTACGTGCACTAGCTTTAACATAATTGCAATCTGATCATCCACTGAAGTGAACGCTCGTCGACGCTTCATTGATGCTCACCTGTGAACATCTGGGGTGTGGCATGAAACGTCCCAAATCCATTTTCGCTTGTTTCTCGACACAAGGACATGATGCATTTGTTTCAGTATCTCTAATGAAGTTCCACTGTGCACCGTCCTCATCGTACCTGAAAACGATTTTGTGATGATTTTCAATAGATGACTTGACCTTGTTCCAATATAAAGTTCTGAATTTCAACAACACAACAGCAATTCACTCAACTCGAGNAGCGACTTTTTCTTCACAAACTCTTCTCTCGCATCAGCGTCAAGCTGTGAGTATGCTGTGTTTGAAAATTCGGGATTGTTTGTTGTCCATAGCCAATGCAAAGATACGGGTGCTGAGACAAGTCTGGAATTGAATCATTTTGTGGCTTGAAAAGACTGAACGTTGTGGGAAACTTCAACAGATCCTTAATTTGATCATTCGCTACTATCAAAACGAACCAATGAGTTATTTCAGCAATGAATTTGAAACAATCGTATTAAGGAAGCGATTGCTGATGATGGTCAGTGATGAGGATGAAACAGTTAGTCATATGTTGGGATTTCAAGTGGAAGAACAATTGCGCAGAGCGACTTGTGCATAGAAAGACTGTTTGAATCAATTTCTAATCACACAATTCATCGGTGCAATCAATGGACGTCACAGAACATACCCGGATAAAAGATTTGCACCAGTGTCATCATTCGGTTTGATTGGAGCCAGTTTCAGGTACCCGAAACGATACGTGAACAACTCATTCATTCTTTCCCAATCTGTCATATACCAGCGTTCGACCTTTAAAAACACTGCATTCATTTCAACGAAACACAAATAGAACAATGAACAGTGTGATTCATTTCTGAAGGTATTCTGTTTTGATGTCCACCGCCTCAACCAAATAATTCGATTGTTTCATTAAATCAAAGCATTCGCATAATATATGCGAAACACGAGTAATCGTAAACTGTAAGTCATTCAGCTGGATAAAACGATCGGTTCAGAATGTGACATTTATGGAAACTTCGAGGAAGTATTGCGTCAGCATACGAAAAAATTCGAATCCTTACAAAAAGTTGTCTGATCGAATTTACATGAGAGGAGAAACACTGGGGTTGTTATAAGGAATTGATTACCTGATAAATATTAATTCGGTCTTCTTGTGGTTTCCAACGGAATTCTGGTG